CCGACCGACATCCCGACAAACTCCCGACATCCCGACATACTCCCGACACGACACACCTGCGCTGTCATGGACGGACATCAGCCCACGAGACGTGTAGTAAATGCCGGACCCGGCTCTCCAGACCGGCAGTAAAACATTAAGCCTGATCCCTGGGAGTCGTCTTTCAAGCCGGTTTATAGACTTCCGGTCGTGATTTGAATCAACCAATCACTGTCGCCTTTTTTTTTACCCGAGGCGCGTGCACTAGGCAACCTAGATTTACTTAGTGAGATATCTCATTAGGGTGAGGTAGACTCCAAAACACGTGTAACTGGTTAAACATAGGATAAACTGTCTTGTACAGAAACACTAAAACTGCTAAAATTATATATTACGTATATATATATATATATATATATATATATATATATATATATATATATATATATATATATATATATATATATATATATATATATATATATATATATATATATATATATATATATATATATATATATATATATATATATATATATATATATATATATATATATATATATATATATATATATATATATATATATATATATATATATATATATATGTGTGTATGTTTGTATATCGGCCTTTGAGTTTCCCAGCATAGCTACCATCATATGACTTGTCATTATTCTAAACATAAACGGTTTCCCTCCCCTACATCGCACCAGCCACCCCCCCCCGCCCTACCACTTCCCACCCACCCACTGCGTGACGTCAACAAACATTCCGGCATCGCTCCCCCCGGGGCATTACGACAGTGCCAGCTTTCTCTGCCCGGTAACCGAACCCCTCCCTCCTGGCATTGGTATTTATTGCCGTCCGCAATTGACAGGTTTCTTGACCACCCCTCCCCCCCTCCCCCCCCCCCCCTCCCCTCCATTTTAGTCATGCGTGGGTCTTGACACGCATTCCTTAAACGGCAGACGATTAAAGATGGTAATTACAACCGCTCCGTTGCAAATTGTCTCCCATGAGACCACAGTATAATTTTCACAAAAATAATTAACGTAAAGTTCTTGTCCATTTTCTTTAGTATTTCATAGTATACCAATATAGGTTGGAGTTGGTCCCTTTCACCCCCATGTGTCTCTATATACAGTACAATACAGGTTGAAGTTGGTCCCCTTGTCTCCATACACTTCTTTCTTCCTCATCTGTTCTCTATACACGTTTTTACCATAAAATATGAGGTGATTGTTGGGGTGGGAACGGTTGCCAGATTTGCTGTTTCACGAGAGTTTTTTTTTTCCTTTACCTGTTCCGTGTTGACGCGCTTTAAGTTGGAGTGGAAGCCGGCAGCCGGCCATGCTGTTGCCGTGATGTGCCGTGTAGGAAGGTGACTGATGTGTGTGTGTGTGGGGGGGGGACGTCACGCTGTGATTGGTCAGAGGGTATCACGTGTTCGCTGAGGTGGAGCAGTTGTTTCTTCTCGAAAATTATTCACGGTATCTCCACTCACCAATCTTCTGTTGTTGTTTTTTGTTTTTTTTTTGCGCAGATAGAATGATCAATGTAAACTTTAAAAATGTCAAACCTAAAGGCCAACCGAATGGCCAGACCAATCGTTTAAAAGTATCCAACATTACTTACTTAACTTAATCCTCATCACTCCCTGTGGAGTATAGGGCAGCAACAAATCTCCGCCATTCCACCCTGTCCTGGGCGAGCCACTTTCCAACATTTACGACTCTAAATTTATATCGATATCATCCGCGCTTTTGGGTATCGATACTTACCCAGGCGTTAACCGTGCCCGTGATTAATTCACTTACGCCATCTCTCAATCACTTTTAAAACCAAACCCAATCGTCTGCATAATTAATCAAAACCTTGCACTTCAGACTTACCTGCTAGTATCAACTATCGGATACCCCACCCCCCTCCACTCCTGGATTATTCACAAACTACCACCCCCTCCCCCTCTAATTTTGTATTATCCGTAACTCCCTCCACCCCCACCTCATTCCCAGGTTGACATTCCGGCTGGCACTGAAGAATTGTCTAGTTCCTGTTATGTGTGCTCCCTAACCGTCACTCCATGTTTCCTTTCCTCTTTTTTTTTTATCTAGACCATTTAGACCTACTGCCTTGTCTGGTCAAAGTCCAGGGCATGAATAAATGATGGACATAATCCACGATAACAATATGATCCACAATAACAACAGAATTATCGATAAAAATATAATCAACGATAACAATATGATCCACAATAACATCAGAATCATCGATAAAAATATAATCCACGATAACAACATAATCCACGATAGCCACATAATCCACGATAAAAACATAATCCACGATAACAACACAATCCACGATAACAACATGGATAGAGACTACAATATTTCTCGTGTACCCATTGTCGATAACAAAAAAAAACCTGTAGATTGAGCCACAATCACATAGATTGAATGATACAAGAAATATGCTTGTGGTACGTTACGTTTGACAAGAAAGAAGCTGGGTGGAAATGAGGGGGGGGGGGGGCGATTCTGTGCAACATCTGGACCAATCTGCACCTTTTGTGTAACAAGTGCCCCAGGTCTGTCTTCTCAAGTCTGTCTTCCTCACCGTGCGAGCGGTTCTACTCATCTGGGTGTAGACACATGTCTAGATTGCTCATCTGGGTGTAGACACATGTCTAGATTGCCCATCTGTGTACCACTTTTGTCAAGGTAAACATGTGAGGAACACTTTTAGCTGGGGACCATTTGTGCCGGGACTATTCATTCGCCATTTCTATCAAGGTTAGGGAATAAATATGATCCTCTTTGGGCAAAATAACAATTATCCTTAGACCTATTTTTTTCTGTGTAACGAGTTTTGTGTGTGTGTGTCAAAATACCATCAACTTGCCAGTTGTGTCAATATACCATCCACTGACCACCTCTGCGACCAATTTTGTCAAAATACTATCCACTGACCAATCTTGTCATAATACCATCTACTGACCACCTGTCAAAATACCATCTATTGACCACCTGTCAAAATACCATCTATTGACCGCCTGTCAAAATACCATCTACTGACCACCTGTCAAAATACCATCTATTGACCGCCTGTCAAAATACCATCTACTGACCACTTCTGTGAAAATACCATCTATTGACCGCCTGTCAAAATACCATCTATTGACCGCCTGTCAAAATACCATCTATTGACCGCCTGTGAAAATACCATCTATTGACCGCCTGTGAAAATACCATTTACTGACCACTTCTGTGAAAATACCATCTATTGACCGCCTGTCAAAATACCATCTATTGACCGCCTGTGAAAATACCATCTACTGACCACTCTTGTCAAAATACCATCTATTGACCGCCTGTCAAAATACCATCTACTGACCACTTCTGTCAAAATACCACCTACTGACCACTTCTGTCAAAATACCATCTATTGACCACTTCTGTCAAATAACATCTACTGACCAATGTGTCAGTCTACAATCTCTTAATTATTGTGTCCAGATTACCATCTAGAGGGGTCACCCCCACAGCGGTACAGCCTCCATGAGACAACATTCACCCCACCCCCCGGGGCCGCATGTCCATGGGTGCTGACTCACCAGATATGACCAGACGAAGTTAAACCTGGACGCTAAACCTGGACGCTAAACCTGGACGCTAATTGAATTAGCAACACGTGTACCCCCCCCCCCCCCCCCCCCCCAGCGCATGTCTCGCATCATGTCATGTAGATAAAAACCCCATGAAGGACGCAACATTTTTCCCTAGTTGGGAACTGTTGGACATGTGCAAGTGTTGAGAGGTGGGGGCGGGGTCAGCTCCTCCTTTCTCCCCCCCCCCCCCCCAGTAGCGGATGTGGTCGCTGACAGGAACCCCTCCGGCACCGGGCATCGTCACGGTTCATTAGTCGATTTGATTGCCTGGCCGCGTCGTGAAATGGCCGCGCATGTTTTCAATTAACCTACTTAGGCATGATAGTGGGAGTCACAAATCTATAGTGATTGTCGTTCTTTGCTCACTAAATTATTTCTTGTTTACCGTTGCCATCAATATATTATCTAAAACAAAGAAACATGATCGCTTTTTTTTTAATCGTTATAAAATACTTTTCTGTTTGATATACTAAAATCACTTTTCATTATGTTTATCCAATGAACATTTAATGCAGTTGTTTTACTTCAAAAATCAAATATTTAAGTTTAATGTACTTAAACGACATAACCTTCTTACCTTTTATACCACAGATCTAATTCTTAGTATTATTTAAAGTTTATTTTTTCTAAATTAAAGTATTTTCTCTTTAAACTGGATAATGTTTCGGTTTAAAGTTTGCAAACAAAATATGCCTAACTAGTTTATACTATTTTTAACTCAGTTTGAATGTTCTTTGTTTATTAAGACGAGTATGTTTATCAGTGAATTTATTTGAACAAAGTCATGTATTTGTACGCGCAATTATTCGCGTATTTCTGAATTGTATTTTCGTGTATTTTTAAGTGAATTTTAAAAGGTGTGTTTAATTTTGTAAATCTATTTTTGCGGTTTTTTATGTGAGTTTATTCCTGTGTATTTTTAACTCTAAATGTACGTGTATTTGTAAGTTTATTTACTAACTTCATTTATTTATTTCTATGCTTAAATCTATAATTATGAGTATGTGTTTTGTACCGTAATTCTAATTTTCTCAATTGGTTCTATTTTTTAAACTCTATATAATATGTGTATGTGTTGGTATCGTCGTACTAAATCTCCCAATTGTTTCTATTTTTAACTATATATGTATGTCAATGTAGTATCGTTCTAATTTTTAACTCTCTATATATGTACGTGTATCTATTGGTATCATCGTTCTAATTCTCCCAATTCTTTCTACTTTTAACTATATATGTATGTATGCGTTAGTACCGTCCTCCTGATTCCCCTAATTGTTTCTATTTTTAACTTTATATATATGTATGTATGTGTTAGTACCGCCGTTCTAACTCCCCCCACTTTTTCTATCCTCAGCTCTGGACAAACTGGGCACCAACCACGTAATGAACCTGGGCCTGCAGGTGGAGGTGGTCCAGCCCAACATAGTGTTTGACATCGCCAGCCTGATGCTGTACGGGGCGCACGCCACCCCCGTCCGTCTCAAGATCCTGCTGGACCGCCTCTTCTCTGTCCTACAGCACGAGGAGGTCCTACAGGTCCTACACGGCTTCGGCTGGACCTACGAGGACTACGCGAGGGGATATATTTTACAGGTGAGGCTTTTTATGTTTTTTAAGGCTGACCTCAAGGGTGCCGGGTTCGAATCCTGGTCAAGATAAAAACTATGGGGTACTCAATTTGCACACTGCGCTACAATTTCATTGAGCCCACTTGGTTATAATTGATAACTAACATAGCTATGTTCACAATCTTAAAGTAAAGTTCCCCTTCCAAACCCGACGGTCTATGGGGCAGGTGAAGTAGAGTTCACCTGTTTCTGTGACCTCGGCATATTAAGGGATAGTGTGGTCAGCACTATGCCCAGCCGTCCTTATTTTCCCTAACGTGAGTTGGGTACCCATCAGAGCTGGATGGACTCAGGGACGGTCTACTGACTTGAACCCGGATTCGAACTCGAGACTTCCCATAAATTCTACAAAAAATCTTAATCCTTCTTGACGTCTTGATTTCTTAAAATGTCTATGAGCCCACTCAGTTAAAATGGGTACCCAGATTACATTGGTGCCTGGATTTTATTGTAGAGGAACTGACCATTACGATGCATGTGCATTTACACCCTTCTGCTTCGTTGTCTTAAAAATAGACGGACTACTGATTTCGTTCATAAGGATCCAAAGACTTGTATGTGGAATCTCAAACCAGTTTCTTTGCTGAAAAGAACAACTAAGTTTTGCCAATTTTCATATTTTTCCCTTCTAGGATGGGTAGATAATTCTGCGGGGGGGGGTGGGGAGATGGGATGGGGGTAGGCCATCGGGTTATTGAATAAGTAAAACAAGTAAATATTGTTGATGTGGGGAAAATTAGCCCGGTGCAAGCGTATAAAGGAAAAAATAAAATGGAACGCACTGTAAAAATAATGAAGCGCGTCGAGGGCAGGCTAGCGGACGTCATGGACCTCTCCCCCCCCCCCCCCCCCCCCCGTGTCACTGGCTCGCGGGGAGACTAACGGGGGTAACTCACCTGGTCGCAGGCAAGGTAAACACGGGGCCGACCTACCTTGTTTACGGGTCTACGACAAATTCCCGAAAGACACTTGCCCGAATGCCGTTTGCCCGAAGGCCGATTTCCCGAATGGACACTTGCCCGAATGCGACAAATGCCCGAATGGACACTTGCCCGAATGCGACAAACGCCCGAATGGACACTTGCCCGAATGCGACAATTGCCCGAATGGACACTAGCCCGAATGCGACAAATGCCCGAATGGACACTTGCCCGAATGGGACAAATGCCCGAATGGACACTTGCCCGAATGCGACAAATGCCCGAATGCCACTTGCCCGAAGGCCGTTTGCCCGAAAAATGTTAACATTATATATTACTAAATAATCATTCGTAATCAATTTAAATTTAAATGTTGGTAAACAAAACACATCTATGCAAAAAGAAAGTGAAAAAATAATATTATATATTACCACGCAGACATTGTAAATTAATTTGTATTTGATATTTAAAAAGTGTAGAAACATACTTTCTCTTCCATATATGAAATTAGACAAAAATACAATTTTCATTCATCTCCGAATCTTAAAATGAGTTTTGCTTTCTTCATTAAGTAATCGCTTCAACACATTGTCTTAACAAGGTGCATTAAATGGAGATGAAACATATTTGTCTAGGTTTAGTTTTTAAATTGGCCACCTAGACCTCGCCTCATTCTTTTGTTAAATGATCACCACACAAGTTAAGCATAATAAGATAAACAAACCAACGCGCCTCTGTTCAATGTTGCGAGAAGCCGCGCCGCCTACACCGTGTCATAAAAGCTATATAACCACCGCCACACGTCGGCTAAACAAGGTGTTCAAAACATTCATCAAAAGAATGTTAGAACACCGCCGCCAACATCACCTTACATTAATTAAAGAATAAAGTTTTTCTTAATGCACTTACTCGGTTTTGAAAAAAAAATAAAAGCTAAATTTAAAAATATAAACAACTTTGTTTTATGCTTAGATATGTGTTTATAATCAAAATTTTAAACTTAAATTGATTAAAGAATGTCTATTTGGAAATATTATTTATTATCTAATATTAACATTTTTCGGGCAAACGTCCTTCGGGAAAGTGGCATTCGGGCATTTGTCGCATTCGGGCAAGTGTCCATTCGGGCATTTGTCCCATTCGGGCAAGTGTCCATTCGGGCATTTGTCGCATTCGGGCAAGTGTCCATTCGGGCATTTGTCGCATTCGGGCAAGTGTCCATTCGGGCGTTTGTCGCATTCGGGCAAGTGTCCATTCGGGCATTTGTCGCATTCGGGCAAGTGTCCATTCGGGAAATCGGCCTTCGGGCAAACGGCATTCGGGCAAGTGTCTTTCGGGAAAACGTCCGGCTCCCCTTGTTTACTACCTGTCTTTGGAGGGAAGCCAGGCAATCACGGGCTCATCAGATGTACCTATCTGACACATCCGTGGGCTCAGTCCTGGGCAGGAGGATGGGGGGGGGGGGGGGGGGGTATGTGTGTTTGGGTAGGGCCGGATTTTTTTTTTTGGCTTTCAGAGTTTTGGTCACGTTATTTTAGCTTTACGTTACGTCACTTGTGCCAAAATGTGCGTAATTTTACTTTTCTACGTCGCCAAACACTATACAAGTATCATGATCATAGTAAAATATATTTTAAAAGTACAGAAATAAATAAATTTTAAAATAATTTTAAAATGCTGGTGAGAGAGACCTAGAAAAAAATATTTTAAAATACTTTTTTTTTTAAATTATGAGTAAAAGATGTATGTTCCTTTCATGTGCCTTAGTAAATAAATATATTTTCAAAATAACTTTACATCATAAAAGTTATTTTATCTTATAGCCTCCAAAATACTCTTAGCGTAAATTTCGCAACTAAATTTAGTTTTACTGAAACTATCTTCAAAATATCTCGGCTAGTTTTATGTTTTTGTGTTTTGGTGTTGACCAAAATCTCGGGTTTACTATTTACCCGAAACTCAATGAATTCAAAGACGGTGACGCGCTGCACCAACATGGCTGACATTCTCGTCTGCTGGGTTTCTCTTAAACGAGGTACTGCAGGAGAGAAAAAAAGGAAAATATGTAAATCTACCTGTCGTAAACCCAGGCAAAGGTCAGAAGGCTTTGTTGATAAACTTGGTGGGTTTTTGCGTCGCGGTAAAGTGACATCTGCGGGTCTTTCTATGTCTGGTGGTATTTACACTGACCACTTTCGTCGGTTTGTTCTTACACACAAACTCACACACACACACACACATATATATATATATATATATATATATATATATATATATATATATATATATATATATATATATATATATATATATATATATATATATATACACACACAGCCGTAAATCATTTTAAAATTAATTATTTTTAAAAATCATTGTTGTCAAGGATCGATATTTACACTGAGCTGTATTTTTTTCATTGTAACTGGCAGGTCTTTCGCACTAGTGACAGTAACTTGCATTTGAGTATTTATACCTATATTTGTCATAGACATGTCTTTGACAAATTAGACTGTGTACACCTGTATTTCTTACATACTTTGTACACCTGCATTCGACATGTACTATGTACACTTGTATTTCACATATACTGCGTACACCTATTAGACATGAACTATATAAAACATTTCCGATATTTCGACATACCTAGCGACAAAAAAAAATTTAGTAACCCTATTCAAACTATTATTTTTTTTTAAATTTACTATGCGTAGCACGCAGTGTAGTGACGTAACTTCCCTCGTATTTCCGACCCGACGTGTCTCTCGCTTCACCCACAATCTTCGAGTGGAACCAAAACTGCTCACGTAAACATGACCTATTTAAAACACCGAGGGCACTTGACGTCGTTCTCTCACTTCTGGCGAACAAAAAATGCACACACCACACACCAAAATTTTTTTACAAGGAGATAGTTTTTACGTATTACTATTATTAAAAGATTTAAAACATCCAATACTTTTTTTTCACGTAAAATTTTTATTAATTGAATTTTAAAGTAGATATATATTTGATTGAAAGTGAGAAGTAGAATTTGAAAGTTGAATTAGTTATTTGAAGGAAGGGGAGTTAATCGTCCAGGGGTCACAACTCGTCACTGATGATAAATACCTTGTGAAGGGGACTTCACTCGTCATTTTGGCAATGTGTGTGTGTGTGTGGTAGTCTCTATCACCGTGGGGTGAGCACGCGAGGATTTGTGCTAACCTAGTACACAGGGATTGGTGCTGTCTTAGCACACAGGGATTGGCTTGATGCTGTCTTAGTAAACAGGGGTTGACTTGATGCTGTCTTAGTAAACAGGGGTTGACTTGATGCTGTCTTAGAGTGTGTGTTTATGGTGTCGCTAATCTCAGGTCTGAGGATTACTCACACGACACTCGTTAATCTCATATCCAATGTGGTATTGATTAGTCGGCCAAAACCCGACTTTATTGATGACATCGGTGGTTGAAAGTTTACGGTTAGGATGGGCCTAGGCATGGGTTAAAGGGTAGAGTGAGTTGGTACTACCAGGGATTGTGTCAGGTTAAGGTTTAGAGACATGGTTAGATTAAGGGCTAGGCTTAGTATTAGACGTATCGATTTTTGTTTATGGTAAAGTCTACGTTTATTGTTAGGTCAATCATCCGGCAATATTATCCACGGGAACTTATAGGTATGGCTAATCGACAAATTCTGATTTGTTTTTTTTTTTTTGTTTTTTTTATTATTTTTTTTTTTTTTTTTTTTTTTTTTTGTAATCAGCGAGTTGATCTCTAGAAGAAGAAATACCAATCTTAATTAGAACAAAGTAAATTAATTCCTAGGGTTGTGGTGCAGGGGGAAAGGGGTGGGAAAGGAATGTTTACTGTGGCCAGCGCGTGGCCTGGTCAGTATACACATCGAGCGTGCGCTCACACCTCCATAGGTCAAGGTCATGTCTGGTTTTCCAGATTCCATCGGGCAGTAATTTTTCTGGCATCGGGCATGACAGGATGGACCGAGACTTGACCACTGGTAGCGTGAAGTTGACCACTGGTAGCGTGAAGTTGACCACTGGCAAGCGTCATCTGTCTACATAATTTCCTGTGTGTTGACATTAACATGGGGGAAATGTGTAGGGGGAAATGTGTAGTTTGAAATGTTAGCCTTTACTTGTAGATATGTCATTCGATATTGAAAGACTCAACGAAAAGAATTATCTTTGTAAGTGATGTTAAACAAATAATTTAAAAAGACAGTAGGTGTTTTAAGTGATATTAAAATATCCCCAAACTATATTATTATACAGCAGTACATTTGGGCACCCGTGGCCGACTCAAACTCCGATACCATCATCATACAATGATCATCTGCTAATTTTTGTTTTTGTTTTTGTTGTTTTTTTCGAGTGTGTTTTTTTTTGGGGGGGGGGGGGGGTCTATTGGTTTGATTGGGTTTTCCTTTTTTATGATTATATATATATATATATATATATATTTGTTTTTTGTTGTTTTTTTTTTTTGCGGTTGATTGAGTCGTATACAAATATATATATATATATATATATATATATATATATATATATATATTTGTTTTTTGTTGTTTTTTTTTTTTTTGCGGTTGATTGAGTCGTATACAAATATATATATATATATATATATATATATATATATATATATATATATATATATATATATATATATATATATATATATATATATATATATATATATAATGTTTGTGTCTGTGCTTACTGCCCCTTTAGAAAAAATCTAGGTTAGTGGCTAGACTTACTTCCCCTTAGCTCCACTCCACGACAAGCCAGTAAATGTCTTGCCCGTGCTAATGCCTGCAATGTCCTTGACCTGTCGCCCTGATAAGGAACACATGTTGAAGGCATCAACCCATGTCATACCCGCGACGGGACTCTGCGACTGGCACCGTGGGGGAAAGGGGTGAAGGGGTGAGAGGAGCTGGTGGGTGGGGGAGGGTATCGCTCAAGAGGAAGGGTGGGAGAAATTAGCTGAAGTTATCCTAAACTACTATCTTTTCAAGCCTACGCCCTTCTTTGTCTACACAATCGTGTACAACTCTGAAAATAAAATGAATCTATAAAAAAAATTAATTTAGAAAAGAGAAAATATTGAAACCAACAAGTAGGCTTCTCAGTACGTTTATGGTGCTTTGTCTTGATTATACATTTAAATACGATGACAACAAACAAAAAGTTTAAGAAATTTGAACGAAAGACAATGCAATGTTGACATGAGATTCAAGTTTATCCGGCGAAGTTAATATCAGCTTGACCTATAATTTTGGACGGGAGTTTCACATATTTATCTGGCAAGTCTAAATATAGACTGAAATAAACGACTGTTTGTTGTGTTGTTTCAAGTAACCATTTTTGTATTTATTTGTTTTCTGCATTCTAAATATGTATCTTGGTGGGAGGGGGGGGGGAATACTGTGGGGAGGACAGAACCGTGTCTAAATCATTTCACGCCATTTCTGTTCGTTCGTTTTCTGATTCCTTGACCCTTCTTCGACACCCAACCTACCCCCCCCCCTCCCTCCCCTCCCACCGTCCCGCCTGCAGATCGGCAGTTCCAGATGGCAGATAGCAAACAACCTCAATGACTCGAACGTCTCTGGCCTTTCCAAATGACCTGGCCACTTGGGGGGGGGGGGGGGGGGGGGTGTTCGCTGGTCACGTGATGCGGGCTGTCCGGTTGGTGCAACAGGGCGGGGGGGGGTTATCCTGGGGGAGGGGTGGAGGAGTTGACAAGAAAGAAAAAAAGTGTGTCGGTTGGTTTAGGAATGGGGTTACAAATTATACATGAACTGATTATTGGTTCTTGGCAAATAAGTATCAACACAAAAATTTTACATTATATATATAACTCTTATATATTACACATTTATATATATTACACACCCATATATATTACAGAGCCATATATATTACACACCCATATATTTTACACACTTGTGTATATTACAAACAGCCAAATATATTACACACCCAAACATATTACACACCCAAATAAATTACACACCCATATAAATTACACACCCAAATATATTACACACCCAAATAAATTACACACCCAAATAAATTACACACCCAAATAAATTACACACCCAAATATATTACACACCCAAATAAATTACACACCCAAATATATTACACACCCAAATATATTACACACCCATATATATTACACACCCATATACACAGATACAAAGCACAGTCGTGTGTCGCTCACCACACCCTCCCCCTCCCCCACACCAACAGCTACCTGAGAACGGCCAGAGTCTGGCTTTTTAATCAGGTAAAAAAAACATTTTTAAAGACAGAGCTACCAGTGGGGGAGGGGGAGGGGAGGTGGATCAGGAGTTTGCCTCTGTTTTCTGGCACCAGGCCAGGCCATGGCACTGTGTGCTTGACAGTCCACCGATTGACAACGTTCGTCTACACATTTACTTTAACAAAGCTGGTCTACACATTTACTTAACAAAGCTGGTCTACACATTTACTTTAACAAAGCTGGCCTACACATGTACTTAACAAAGCTGATCTACACATTTACTTTAACAAAGCTGATCTACACATTTACTTAACAAAGTTGGTCTACACATGTGCTTAACAAAGCTGGTCTACACATTTACTTTAACAAAGCTGATCTACACATTAACTTAACAAAGTTGGTCTACACATTTACTTAACAAAGCTGGTCTACACATTTACTTTAACAAAGCTGATCTACACATTTACTTAACAAAGTTGGTCTACACATTTACTTAACAAAGCTGGTCTACACATTTCCTTAACAAAGCTCGTCTACACATTTACTTTAACAAAGCTGGTCTGCACATTTTCTTTAACAAAGCTGGTCTACACATTTACTTTAACAAAGCTAGCCTACATATTTATTTTAACAAAGCTAGCCTACAAATTTACGTGAACAAAGCTATTCTACTCATTTACTTTAAGAAAGCTACTCTACACGCTACTTTAGGTTTCTTAAAGTTGGTCTACATATTTTCCTGAAAAAAGCTGGTGTACACATGTTATTGAACAACGCTTACGATTTTTTTCTGTAAATTACACATCTTGATTTACAAAGTTTGTCTAGATACCTTTATTTACCAAAGCTAGTCAACACATTTTATTGCACAACAGCTTTTTAACAAAAGTCTAAAAAAGCGAGTTGACATGTTACCTGTATTAGTTGTCGTCCACTAATTTATCCTGCCATATCACATACTTGGGCTGCCCATAAATCCACCCTATAATTAATATCAAATTTTACAAATCAAGATAATGCATGTTGAAAATTATCTTCCCAACCCAAGCCTCACTTTAGTGCGGGAAGTGTGAGGAGGGGATATCTTGAAATATCCAATCGATATAGAAACTTGACCTTCTTGTTATTTTACTTTGCCTATTTCTACGAAGACAACATTGAAATTTCACTAATCTAAACAAACATCCATACACATCTTCCACGATGAAAACATATAACAAAAGAATAAAATATCCACATTATACACAGCTGTTTGATGTAATCTTTTTTATTCCACCCACCAGGACAGTTCCGGCCGAGTGCTGGACAAATGGTGTGTGGCCACTAGAGACGAGGAGATGGTTGTACTCCAGCAGTTCCTCAGGTTTGGCGAGACCAAGGCCATCGCTCAGGAGATCATCCTCCAAGACACCAAGGACCGTCACGAGGTTCTCGTCAAACAAACCTCCCGCGCCGAGTCAGACATTAAGAAGTTCATCGAGCGCAGTAACCTGTCTATGCAAAGCTACATCAAATCTTACGAATCAACCCGTCAACTGTTCGGGGCACGGGCTGTCCCATTTATCCCCCCGGGGCCGAGGTTGTTGACCACGCCTTTGATATCCCCAACGTACACCCCAACACGAGACGCCCGGGCTCTTTCTCTACCTCAGACGCCAACCACATCATCCACGCCTCTGGTCACCCCGCCGCTGAACCGCCTTCAAGTCATGCAACCTTTTGACGCCAGGAAAGAACACACGACAGCCGCGATCAGCTTGAGTCCTGCGGCCTTGGAGAAAACCCTGGCGAGGAGATCTCCGCTGTGTGAGAGTCCAAAGAACTTGTGCACCACCCCCTCCACGGTGTCTTCAGCTGCAGCATCACCATCACACCAAGCGCCACATCAGCAACAAGGTTTGGATGAAGTCGACGGAAGTGATCCTTACATGTCGGGTTCTGACGACGAGGGAGAGGTACTCGACTACTCCAACAAAGACAACCCCGACTCCCCGTCCGACCCGGAAAAGAAAAACAAACAGCACATGCGCAAGTCGACGAATCCCATCAAGCGGCAGTGGACGCCGTCTGCTAATTTCGGCAGCACTTTCGTCGGACCCAACGGCAAGAAGCGCGTACTGTGCACGGCCTGTAACAAAACATTCTGTGATAAAGGGGCCTTGAAGATCCACTACAGCGCCGTGCACCTGAAGGAGATGCACAAGTGCACCGTCGACGGCTGCAACATGATGTTCAGCTCCAGAAGAAGCCGGAACCGTCACAGCGCCAACCCCAACCCCAAGCTGCACATGCCGCAGAAGAGGAAAGACGACCTGGATCAGTCGGACGAGCTCGACCTTTCAGTGAGTAACGGCAGCGGGAGGATAACTCCCGTGTCCTCCGCTGTCTCCATCACGGCTTCGGTCGCCTCCCCCATCTCAGTCATCTCCTCGTCAGTCATCTCCTCCCAAGTCATCCCCCTTATCGACCCGCCCCGGATCATCCGACCAGACTCGAGTTTCTTCATCGAAATGTCCGCGCAGTTCCCCTTCATGGCGCCGCCCGAGAAAAGAATCAAACTAGAAGAGGACCAGCCTACCGACCTGAGCAAGGTCTCCACTACCAATACCAGCCAGTCGGACGAGGAGCCGTGCGACCTGAGGAAAAAATACGACGGTGAAAGAAAGCTAAAAATAGATTTAGACGACGCGGAAGAGATTAAAAAAGAAGAGGATGCAGATGTCGAAGGGTTCAAAAACGACCCGGGGGTGAGAGGGGGAAACCGGAGGAAAAACACGGCCCCTACGAGGTGCGCACAAAGCGGGGAAGATAACGAAGATAAGGGGGACGAGGGCGCCGAGAACAGCAGTCACGTGACCAATTTATCGCTCGAGGGCAGCGGAGCGAAAAACTTTCCCAAAATAGCATCCCTGCTGTGGGCGGGGGGCGTCAACGTGGAACAAGCCCAGCGGGCCGACTGCCATGAGCTCGACACGCCGGACCACAAACTGTGGGCTGCGAACCTATCCAAAGACGAGGACAGCCAAGGTGAAGGTCGGGATTCCGACGGCGACGACGAAGACGACGATTCGGACAGGGACTCGTGCGAGGAGTCGGGTGACGTCATGCAGGACTACCCAGCCGAGATGTACGTCGACAAGGACAACCCACTCAAGTGTAAAATCTGTGGGAAAATTTTCCAGAACAGCTTCACGGTGAAGATCCACTTCAAGAACGTCCACCTCAAGCTTCTGCACTCCTGCACTGTTGAAGGCTGCGGCGCGACGTTTCCCTCCAAGAGAAGCCGAGACCGTCACAGCGCCAACATCAACCTCCATCGGAAACTTCTCTCCGGCGACAGCAACAACGACGAGGAGATGGACGCGGCTCTCAAAGGCAACATCCTCGCCAAGCTCTACGGCCGCGACCTCGTCGACAGCAACCCACCCGCAGACGCCAACGTCAGGAAACAACCACCCTTCACCCCCGACCAAAAATTAGCCAGTAACAACAACAACGAGCCCATCAAACCCACCGCCAGTCCCATCAACGGACACACCAGCAAGCCGGGGTCAGCCGGATCCGAGGTGCTCTCCGCGAGCGATGCGGAGAGTCTGGACATGACGGAGCAGGAGACGGTGCTGTGTACGGTCTGCGGGGACAAGTTCAGCACCCCGCTGGTGCTACAGGAGCACATCGCTCTCTCGCACCCTGACCACGCCCTAATCACCTACGATCCGGTCGTTTTGAGAAAATGTGTTTCGCCCAGACGAATCAGAAACCGACAGAAGATTCGAAACGGGATGATCACTCGAAAAACAAGCAGCCTTTGAACATGTAGAAAATCATGTTGCTATGATGTTTCCCTTGGATTTAAGACAGAAACTATCAGTATTATAAACAGTGACATGTTATTCGACTCAATTTTTAATAAACCTGTAATTCAATAGATAATTGTGCTTCGTGGAAATACGTGCATTTTCATTGAATATATCACAACATGGTCATCATGTATGTTCATGTTACTGATCACTTTAAGACGTATCATACATACCAAGACATATTAACTTATACAGAACTGTTTATGATTTTGTTTGTAAAAAGAAATCACAATGAACACTGGTCTATTCCTTAAATAAAACAAACATTGACTCGCTTGAAGGAATACATGATGCATTGAGAAAAATTAAAACCATAACATTTGACTCGTAACAGATTATACTCATGTGCATGTCTTCGTATGCTGGCTTTAGAAGCTCGTGATACAAAATTCACAATACAAGTCGGATAGTTGCGTATGGTATGGTTACATAATCTGGAAGTAATTAAATGGTTGAGTGAAATTGTTTTACAGCTACATTTTTGTGTTACTCTCTGTTCGTTGTATAGCTCTATGCAAAACCACAAAGTTTGGTTCAAATTGTTTGTTTTTCTTCATTTTTTTTATTGTTGCCTTTAAATGTTATACTTTTACGAGAAGTATTTAAACCACATTTTATAAAAGTTAAAAAAAAAAATTGCAATAGAATTTTTTTTTCTTTAGTTGATCTCTGAATGGTCATAATGCCTTAGTCACCTTGTCCTTCGAGTTTGTTTACAAACATATGCATTACTCAGTGGCCTGTTTTCTACCTATTTATTCTTACGCTCATATTATGGCTTTTCTTCTATTTTTTATTAGATAACCAAAACATGCCTTTAAAATTCAATTTGTACAGCTTCTTTCGGGTAGTTTTAGTTGGTTCTCGATATTTAAAATGATTTCTTTTTATTATTTATGTAAAAAAAAAAATCAGTATTACATTATTTTTAACTTAATACGTTGTCACTTTGTTGGGTATCTCCTATAGCAATAAACTTGTTTGATACAGTCCGATATTTTTTTTTCAAATGTCTTATCATAGATGCTTAAACTTTAAAGCATGAAAGAGAATTATGTATTTATTATATAAATCTTAATCATCAGCAAATATAAACTGTTTGATAAAAAGTTGAAACATCATGTTTATAGAAATTTGTAAATAAATGAATAAAATGTTTTTATTTTTTAAATCCCCCACAGCAATATAATTCTCTCTAGTCAATGTATGCACTTAGGATCAAAATGTATGTATATATCACGCCTATATTGTGTAGCGACCGTTAGCCTAGTGATGTCTGCTATGAATTTGTTTTACTTCAAACGACGGTATATTTGATTCTGTTTTAGTTGAATATTTTAGAAAATCCTATTTGAAAATTCGATTGTGTTTTTATTCATCAAAATGAATAAAGCATTGTTAACTTGAAAACTTAGGACTTAACATTGGTAATGACCTACTTATGACTTATGACTTATAAATGAAGTCACAATTGTTTAAAACAATCCCAAAAAGTCAAATTGTAATTTATTTTTTTAAATTTTAACCCCAATTTCTTCCTACTGAGCTCGGCTTATATGGATTAGGCAGATATTCTTCAGTTATATTTGCAATTTACAAAGAATTTTTTCAAACGCGCAATAACTGCTAAAAAAAATTAAGTTTCTAACATTTTTAAAATATCAAAGGGTCTTTAGACTTTCTTAACCCTCTTTATCTCTCATCTTATTCATACATCATCACTAAATTCAGTACCCCCCCCCCCACCCACACACACCTCTACATCCTCCAACTCTAGGGGTGTGTCCTAATTTTTTTTGGACAACCCCAAATGCCGATTAAGTTTTGAAACAAACGCGTACAGGTGAAGCAGGGTGGTGATTTGCTCATGATCAGGGGTGTGTACATCATAAACGCCCCCCCTCCTCTGGATGAAAACGTCTTCGTCCTTCCACCCCCCCCCCCCTACCTCCACCCGAGTGTATACTTCAACTACAACATGGGGGTCCCTAAATCTAAATTAGGGGGTCGGGGGGATGGGTCTGGCTGAAACACAACCACAGTCGCAATCAATCGGCCACTACCCATTTCTGATAGCTCATGTGCCAGTCAAATTATCAATGCATGCCCTATGTTATTCTAGAAAAACAAAATCAATAATCAATAATCGCATTGAGGTGTAGATTACCCATCCAACCTGCCTTGAACCGACTGGTGGGTGTATCGGGGAGGGAGAGGTGTAAAACTCACATATATTTATTTGCTTGTGTACATTGATTTTTTCCAATGCTCAAATGCTAAATTTTGAATGCTAAACTATAATCATTTTATGAAGCAGATCCAAAAATATTAAAAAGTATTAAAAAGATAACTCAGGAAAGAAAAGATACAATTTGTTATATTTATTTAGCTGCTTTAGTTGTACGCTTGTATGACCATTTTATTTTGTCCCTATGTATATTCATGTACAGTTTGGTGCATTTATTTATTTATTTCAATTCTTCGTTTTCTTTGTTTAATTTTAATTTAATGGGAAATTTCCATTTTTATTAACTTTTACATAACACGTTCACTTTAAAATTCTATTCAGTTTATAAAAATGTTATTGTCAAATGTTTGTAACATACAATGCAATAAGGATGGGATTCTATTCAAATTTGTTTACACTGTAGAATTATTAAATATTTGGAAAAAAAAGTAATTTTTTTAAATTGTTTTTATTGTAATTTATTTAATTTTGTTTACGATTTTATTGTAAATCATACAATTTTGATAACATTTTAAATTTACAATTTTAATTCACGATCACGATAGTGATAACTAGAAATCTATATCGAATTTTTTAAAAATGTTTTTCAAATACTTGTTTGCAACAGCCTTATCCGTTTTGCTTTTTTTAGTGTTACTAGTTTAAATCACAGTTAGACCTAATGTATATGTATATATATATATATATATATATATATATATATATATATATATATATATATATATATATATATATATATATATATATATATGAAATCTAAGATCAACACACACAAAATTAGATAAGATTTTTTATATTTTTTACATTTATTTTCAAGCCAACCTTTGAACCAATGTTTTCCAGCCACTCAGTGCCACTCAAGCAAAATATTTAATTTTTGGTTTAGATTTCCACAAAATAAACACCTCTCACTGTATTGTTTTAACGTTTTTAAATTCAAAACTTTGGACAGATATTAAATACAAATATATAGATTTTCCTTAACAAAATTAAAAAAAAAAACAATCGTATTTCGTACAAGCTGCAGTATGTATAGGCCGCCACACATAAAAGGAACTAGACATCAACCACTTCATTCCTCGCCAAAGAGCCACTCATATTTTTATACAACCATTCCAACAGTAAAACATATTAACCCCTCCATCTAACAAGTATTTCTATGACCAATAACAGGAGTTGTTTTAAAAAACTGGGATCAGGTGTGGCTTCAATCTACTGCTTTCTGGTCAGATTTAGCAACAATCTTTTTAGTTCTGATCAGATTTAGCATCAGTCTTTTTATTTTTTTATCAGATTTAGCATTAGTCTTGTTATTTGTTATCGGATTTACCATAGCTGTATTTAGGCCTACTTCTGATCAGATTTAGCATAGATTTATTTACTTCTGATTAGATTTAGCATCAATCTTTTTTTTTTTAAATTTCTGTTCAGATTTAGCATCAATCTTTTTAAATTTCTGTTCAGATTTGGCATCAATTTATTTATTTTGACCACATATATCAGGGTTTTAGCGCAATTTCCATACTGACAATTGCGATTATTTTAATTATCATTTCTGATCAAATTCAGCATCAATAATTTCCTTTCTAATCATATTTAGCAAAAATTCATTTATTTTTATTAGATTTAGCAACAATGTATTTACTTCTAATTACATTTAGCATTAATCTTTTTATTTTTGATCAGATTAGCCTTTATCTGTTGATTAGAGTCAGCTTCATCCTTTGTGCCTAAAACTTTAACTACTTCACGTCTTAAAATGGTGTGTCATTAAGACACATCTGTTGTGTCATTAAGACACATCTGTTGTGTCATTAAGACACATCTGTTGTGTCATTAAGACACATCTGTTGTGTCATTAAGACACATCTGTTGTGTCATTAAGACACATCTGTTGTGTCATTAAGACATTATCCCGTAGATGTAACACAAAATGTCAACATTCATTAAAAGAAATATGCACAAATCTTTTCGCTCTAGTCTCGCCTTTAATTAATTTGATACTAGCATTATCACTTTTTGGGGGTATGGTATATTTCTGTTTTAAATAATCTTAAGAAATAAATAACTATCACAGAATAACATCCCAATAAATCTAAAGTTATTTATATTTAATTACAATTTTAGTAATATATTACTTTATGTTTATGTTTAAATGTTTTATTTTTGTAATTAAAACTTTTTTTTTTCAAAATTTTTGCTGCTTGCTAAAATCTCAACCAAGCCTAGCGTTAGCTACCATTTATACTCGCCTGCTAAAATCCTCACTATTATGAATACTGCATCATGGGAAGTATAAATTATCTATTTTATTATCACTGTATACACAACTCATATCAAAGTCTATTATCGTTTTGATGTAGAGATTGTTTTTTTTTTTTGTAATTGTTATTTTTAAACCTACGCATTACAGTATTATTGTATACATAAATTCGATGCAATTGGTTTTAGAATATTTTTTTTCTATGTTCAACGTCAGTGACCTCACTGAACTACCAGACTAGGCTTGGCCTTGAAAATATTTCTAGCATTTTATTTAAATGAATAAAAGTTGAAAGAATACGCAATATTTGGTTTTTTGGATTATTTGTTATTTATTTTTATAATCCTTTTACAAGCCTTTTTATACTTGCTTTAAATGTTATAAATTTGTAAATGAGTCGTTGTTGGAATTTAAACCAAGAAGTGGACAAAAGTTTAGTACAGGTGAAGTAGAGTTCACATTGCCAAAAAAACATTAAGTGCACAGAAAACA